ATATCGACATGAGAGAGACCCATCTATTGGTTGTCTCCCGCACTTGCCTGGACCAGGGCCGGGGATGGAGCCTGCAACTGAGGTATGTGCCTGTGTCCAGAATCAAACCCAGGATCCTCAGAAACACAAGACCCTCAGTCTGGGGGTCAACACTCTAACCACTGAGCCAAACCAGATAGGACCAGGAGTCATTTTTACTGTATCATGTATTCCACTGCATCTATCCTAAGTTAAGAAGATATCCAAAGTAAAGAGGGTCAATTGAAAGTTCACAGTCCACTACATAATAGTCACATTATTGATGACTGTAGAAGTTTCTACTATTAGAGAACAACTCTACCTTCCCTATGGCTTGGCTCTGCCAGAAGTGAGAAGCATAACAGAGAGGAGAAAGCAAGTTTTAATCACAGTCCTGAGTTCCAGTCTCATGGCATTATAGGAGCAGTCATATCTTTCAGTGCTTCAAATACTCCTGATATTTAAGAAACAGAAAAGGTGTGCTCCTTCCTGTTATAAAGACTAACAAAATAATATTGATGAGGAGCTAGAAGATGAACAAGTAAAGCTGAAAACTAAACTTATACTAATAATTTACTCTAGGAAACAATGAACTAGAAGGCTTACCTAACGGTACAAACTTCTAATGGTTATTTTTATATGTGGCCAACATGTGCTAGGCCTATGGAGACCCATAGGACTAATATTAGTTTAATATTAATATTAATAAGCTTAATATTCCTAAACTTAAGGAAAGAAACAATGCTTATCTATGTAATTTTAGCTTACATTTGTATAGTACGCTATGCTTTTCAAAGAGTTTTCATGTCTATTATTTTACAAACACAATTCTCAACATAATGTGAATATACAATACATAAAAGAGCATTTGTCAGATGATCACCTCAAGAAATAAATAAAAGGATAGACAGGTTTAACATAACAGTTGTAATGTTTAATAAGTGGGGGTACATGCAACACAGAATTCTATCAACCCAAAATGATGTTTATCGTTCTGAATTCCATGTTAGGCCTAAGGGAAAACATAAATATGATAACCATACCAACTTACATTACAGGAAAAAAACCCTGAGGCTTACTGTTGAAGAGAGACTATGTATTTTACCCACCTGGAAAACTGAAAAACACTGGAATCCAGAGGCTTAAGTTGAAGAGAAGGTGTTTTGCTTTCTTCTCCAACAGATGGAAGCCGGCTAGGGCTATCAATTTCCTCATATCCAAATGTTTTACTATTTAATTCATCCATATCTTGAATAGTAGGGATCTTCAATGGATTAGTGAATACCTAGCAAAGAAAACAAAAAGATGCATAAAAATCCCAATTTCAAACTAAATACCAAAGGATGAGTCAATCCTTCTGATGCTAGGAAAGAACACTTAGCCAAATAAAAAGAAACTGTTTCCTACAACAGAACAAACAGCGCACAGTAATGTACACTAGAACACTGAACCCAGGCACATTCACTTATAACCTAATCAGCTGGATGCCAACAGACCTCCCGACTCACTTATTGGCTCCTAGAATCATCCCACCCACAACATAAACCCAGGCCCCCTAGTCAGTGTCTAATTCTCTCTTTTGACCCAATTTAAGGCTGGACTTTCACTCCTCTGAGATCTGTGATGAGGGTAGGGACGGAGGGAATAAGCATTGCAGCATGTATTGGTGCTGGTCTTGGAGAAATGCATGCGAGACATTAACACGTATTCACAGTGCACACACACAGAGACATGCATCTGGGATCTTGTGGCAGAGCCAGCTTATGAAAATAGTATGAATGATGGTGAAGGAATATAAAGGGGAGGTAAACTGAATGAGGACAGGGCAGTCCCAGGAAATCTCCCAATCTCTAGATCAGCCTATTAAGCCAAGTCAGTAGGGCATGAAACCTGAATATTCATATAACTGGGTCTTGGTAGACTGTCAGAAGAAGAATTAGTATTAAATTGCCTCTATCCTCACCAGTCTGACCTACCCTGATTGAGTGGGTGAAAGGTGAATCTAACATGCGACTAGTAGATATCTCTGGGAAAGAGGATCAACAGGAAAATCATGCAGAAAGGCAAGG